CCCTCCCCCATACTTTTGAGAGGAACTCTGCCCCACATGGCATAGTCTCTTAACTCCCCCCAGAAAATGACTCCACTACTCCCTGGGGACCCCTCTCTGCCAAACTGCTGGTCCCTTGGTCTCCTTCACACTCTTATGAGTTCTCCCAATTGAGGCGAGGGTACTAGGGACTGAACCCAGGACCTTTGCACTGGACTACATCCTCAGCCCTTTTTAAAATTATTTATTTATTTATTGTTATTATTTTAAATTTGGGGACAGGTTCTAAGTTGCTAAATTTCCCAGGTTAGGCTTGAACTTGTGATTCTCTTGCCTCAGACTCTTAGAGCTCTGGGACTCCAAGCATGTGCCACTATGCCTGGTCTAGCTCAAATTAGTGCTGAGGTGGCCCCTCTGGAGGTAGGCACTGTCAATCTGTCCTCTCCTCTACTTGCTGAGGCTGGCCAGCCTTTTGTGCCCTGTCCTTGACACCTGCCCCAGCTCCCTTCCTACATCTTCCTCAACTTCTTTCCTTCCCTGTGATCTCCAGGGCCTTGACTGGCGTCTGGCCCCCTACTGCGTGGGTTCTCCTTTCCCGAGGCCCCCCAGACGCCAAAGTCCTAGCTATGTCCTTGACCCCTCGGCTGTCCAGCTTCCTCTCCTACGCCGCCCCCTCTTCTCCCCAAAGGAGAAGAGGGAGACAATATGACAGGAGCCAGGTGGGATGTGACGCTGCCGCGTGGCATCCTGAGATGTCACAGGCCGTCGGGTCTTGGAACTGAGTGGGGTTGAGGGTTACCAGTTGAGGATCCCCGGAGGCCGGGCGGGGCGGAGGACTGAGTCCCCAGGACACCAGAACTCCTGAGGGGGAGAGTCATAAACACACCAGGCCGCCACACTATCCTCGGCCCCCCAGTCCACAGTTCCGGAAAGTTAACCCCTTGTAGGCCAGGTCGGGGGCGCGGACTCCCCCTACCCGATCCTGCTTTCGTGAATCCTCTTTCCCCTCAAGGCTCCCTGTCACTTCTGTCCCCACCCCCCGCCTCGCCACTAAAAATAGCAGCTTTCCCGTTTCCTAAATTCCCGGCTGACGTCGGCAGCGCGTCAGTGTGTAGGAGCCGAGGCCGCATGAATGAGCCGCCGCACGAGTACTACGCGCGTCTATAAAAGCCGCCGCGCCGGGCTGCGGGAGGCGAGCGGGCGCGGGCGCGGGCGCGACGAACCCGCCAGGTAAGCGGGCTCGGGACCAACGGGCCACGGGAAGACCGGGGCGAGGGCACGGGCAAGGGCCGGGGGGCGACGGCGGGCGGTGGGCTGGAGGGTCTCTCGGAGCCGGGAAGGGCACGAGGTGGGCGGATCGAGGGTCCCTCGCAGCTAGCGGAGCGGGCCGGAGCCTGGCACCACCCCGTGCGGCCCCTGCCGGCGCCCAGTTGGAGACGCAGCCACTTTGGAGGACCAGCAAGCAGAGGACAGAGCCACGTCCCCAAGGCTTTCTGTGGGGCTCCTGCGCCATCCTCCCAGGAAAGTGGGAGAAGATGATGCCGCGCCCAGGAGCCGCGCGCCCTCGTCCCACCCCCGCCCCTCCCTGCAGCGCGGTGACTCAGCCTCGTGGTCCCCGACCCACTAAGCTGAGGGCGCCGGCGGGAGACACAGACGCCCACTTGCCCACCGCTTTGACTGCGGCTGTCTCAGGACCCCGCCCGGCATTCCTGCCTGAGCGCCCCTTCCCCGTCCCGTCGGGCTGGTCCCGCGGCGCCCACGACTTCCCGCCTCTCCGCGCGGAGCTGTCCTCTCAGGACCAAGAGGGGGCGGGGCCTTGGCCAGACCGCCCCGCCCCCACGGCTCCCCGCCGGAAGTGCCTCCCTGCTGGGACATCTTTGACGTCACAGGACTCTGACGTCAAAGGTCCCGTGCCTGTCCATGAGCTCTGGGGCCAAGAAGGTGGGAGACGTGAGGAAGGAGCAGCAGCGCCTCCAGCCGCGGGCGGAGGGGTCAGCCCCCTGGGCAGCGCGCCGGCACCTTGGCTCTAGACTGCTTACTGCCCGGGCCACCCTCAGTAACAGTCTCCAGTCACGGCCACCGACGCCTGGCCCCGCCCCAGGACCGCAGACCCGGCAGCCCGCTGCGCCCCCGGGCCCCGCTCTCTCTCCGGGGTCCCCCAACCCCGAGCTCGCGGCCCGCTCCGCCGCTGTCCGCGGTGCTGATCCAGCACGGGCGCCACCATCCGGCTGTAGTTCCCGGCCCCAGGTGCAGCTAGGGGAGGCGGGCCCACATGACACTTGCACAGCCCCCGCACCGTGCTCGCCGTCTCCCGCCCGCGCCTGCCCCGCGGTGCTGACGTCAGCCTGCCTGGAGCTGCCGCGGTGCCGTCAGCGGCGCTCGCCCCGCCCCCGCGTCTCCAGGACAACCGTGGCTTTCGATTGTTACTGTGGGAACCGGAGGTAACAGTCTACAGCCATGGTCGCCCCGCAGCACGCCCACGCGCCGCACCACGCCGCATCCTGCCAGCCGGGGGTGGGGACACACGGAGTAGGAGGAGGCGGGAGCGAAGAGTCAAGATCAACTGCGTTCGCAGGGGTGGTGGGAGGTGTACACAGGGAGGCCGAGGCGGCCCTACAGGGTCTGGCTGCTATGCACCCAGCCAGGGACTCAAGGAAGCACAGCACGGTCCGTGGCGTGCATCTGGTTGCGAGCTCAGAGACTGCTCTGTCCTCTCAGCCGAGGTATCACTGCTAAGGGATGGTAAGAGAAAGGGGTAATTCTGGGATATGGATTCTTTGCTGCTCCCTGGGAAAGAGGCCACTGGGCCAGGAAGCGTGGAAGAATATTGTTTGCCTCTTGGGCCCTGAAGAGGGTAGATGACCAAAGTTATCTCAAAAACGCCGTACCATTCTTCCAAAAACCACTAATTGAGCAGGCAGAGGGCGAATAAACTCTTGAATCCGTTCCTGATAGAGACACAACCTCTCCTCATTCCCTTTCCCAACTTTGAGAAGGGTCCCTAACCTGACAGGCTAGTAAAATTCACCTGATCCCTAGCTCATTGTCTGAACATACTAGTATTCTCACCTCAGTCCATCTCTAGGTGCTGAATTCCAATTTGAGAATGTCCTAAATTCTTCCTAAAAAGTACCACAGGAGCCGAAGTCCTGTTGTGCCAAGAAAGTGTGAGCAATGACCTCTTCAAAAACTACTGTCACCTGTCACTGCCAACATCACTTGCTGCAGAGGCTGTCTGTAAATATCAGGTGCAGGACTTCACAGGGACAGCGCTGGAATGCTTACTGCAACCCAGCACACCACCCATTAATCCAAATTTTACCTCTCCACACACTCCTTCTAAATTAAAGACAGTTAGTGCTGGTTTCCAAGCTTCATCAACACCCTACTGCCCTACTCCCCACCCAGAATCCTGAAGTCTGAGATTAAAATGCGTTCGATTCTGGACTCCAGTGGACAACTGTGGGTGGACCCATGTGTGCAGATGGGAGTAGTGCCCAGGAAAGCTGGTCCAATCTGGCTTCATTATCCAGGGGTGTTCAAGTGGCCATATTGTTTCTGACCCCTCTGTAAAACAGGAAAATAATACCTTTTGACAGGTGTATTTTGAGGATCAAATAGGAAGTGAAAATCGGGTGGTTTTTTTGTTTTGTCATATGGTGATGGAAGTTAACTCAAGGCCTCCCACATGCTAAGCAGGTGCTCAAACCACTGAGCTACACCTCCCAAGGCCTGGAAGTGAAAATCTTTGAAAACAGCGAACGCTACCTCTTCCCCCCACCCTACAGTGCTGGGGACCTACTGCATGCTAGCAAGCGCGATACCACTGAGCTCCCCCAGCTGTTTCAACAAGTATTCTACTACACGTCCGTGAGGGAGCCGTGTTAGAGATTTCAGCTCCACGCACTCAGGCAGAAAGGACACTCCCCGTGAAGATGCTCTGGGATGGGGGTGGGGGTGGGGTGGCGAGGGGCTCTTTGCTAAGTTGCTCTCTCCCCGGGGCTTTAGGAATCCAAGGTGTAGTCAGAGGTAGAAGAGAGATACAGTAGGGGTGTGCCAAAAAAGAGGCCAAGCCTCTTGCAGCAATCTGAACCCATCTGAAGAATGTGATGGGGGGGCGGATCAGAGGGCTGACTACTGAGTGTTGTTTGGTATCTTGAAAATCATTCAGTGTCTCCCCCACCCCTAACACACTGTATGGATTGAGAAGCCGAGGCCCCCACAGGACATACAACTCCAGTAGTGAGTGCAGCACACAAAACAGGGACTAAAACTGGGGCACATGGCATGTGTCTGTAGTACCAGGTATGCAAGACGCAGAAGCAGGATGCCATACGTCTAGGAGTTTGATGCCAGCCTTGGCAACACAGGGAGACCTCATCTCAGAAAACAGAAAAAAAGAGGGAGGAAAAAAGGGAACGGAGGCAAAAAAGGAAGAAAGCAAAGAAAGGGAAGGGGGAAAGGGAAGAAGGGAGATAGGTTATTAAGCTCCTTGGGGGATACTGTGGCTGAGAGCTAAGGAAGGAAAGAAGAGGTGGGGAGGAAAGTGATTAAGCTACATTCGGTATACTGTAGCTGAGGGCTAAGGGAAGGGGAGGAAGGAAAGCTCCTTGGGGGGAAACTGTGCCTGAGACCTAAGGGAAGGCAGGGAAGAAAGGGAGGGAAGGAGGAAGGGAGGAAGAGAGAAAAATAAATTTTTGAGAAAAGTTATTAAGGTACCTGGAGGGGGCTGGGGCTAAGGCCCTGTTGTGAGAATTCTATAAATGGAACTGGCTTCTGCCTTACAGAGGCAGGAAGGCAGAAAGCAGTTGTGGGGGGGGGGGAGAGGCTAAAGTGGGCAATCTTTTTTGAGACAGGGTCTCGCTATGTAGCCCAGGTTGGCCTCAAATTCACAGCTGTCCTCCAGCCTCGGCTTCCCAAGTGCTAGGATTACAGGTGTGCACCATCACACCCAGCTGCATCAATGTTAATCACAGCACCAGTTGTGAATAGCATTTATCTTAGAAACCTTGCAGATGAGGTTAGGAAGTTAGGAAGAGGCAGTTTATTCAGTGTACTTTGGCCCCTGCCCAAGGTCTGGCATCATCCCACACTTCAAAGTCATAGTTCACAGGGGTAGGGCAGTTATGCAAGAGAAAGCAGAACGCATGGCAGAGAATGAGGGAAGATGGGAACAGAACTCAGCGATCAGGATGGAGGAAGTCAGGTAGAGCCTTGCCAGATGATCTCTTCCTCCCAAACTCAGATGTAAATTCTTTATGATTCAGCCACTAAGGCTTCCTTCAATTTCTTTCTTTTTTCCTTTTTGAGACAGGGTCTCACTATGTAGTTCAGACAGGCCTTGAACTATGAGCTCCAGGTTGGCCTCAAACTCTTGGGAATCCTACTGCCTCAGCCTCCCAGAGTACTGGCATTAAAGCATCTCACCACATCCAGCCCTTTTCATGTTTTAGTATTAGAAACCAAAATCCATTAAAGCCGCCTGCTTCCTTTTTCCTCCAGGAGTCATTAAGTAGTCCTGAGAATGGATAGTTGTCCTTAACTGGTTATGAGGAGCAGCATGTCAGCACAGCACCGAAGGTCCCAGGGGAGGCCCTAGGGTGCTCAGAATACATCACAGAGGCTGCCCCAAGGTGGGAGGATGCAAGGGCAGAGGTGTTTGTTGATCTTTCACTCTGCAAACTGGTCCAGGAACTTGAGGTAGGCCTGGCGCTGGGGTGCAGCTGCTGGAACAAAGTGGCCACCAGAGTGGGTTAGAGTGATGGCTCCAGGGAATAGGCTAGCCAGTCGCATACTCTCCTGAGAGGGGATGACTCGATCAGTATCCCCAAAAACATGGAGCGAAGGCAGTGACAAGGGGCTCTGCATGACAGGTTCTTTGAGGCCAAGGCCCCGGGGACAGAAACCAGAGATGAGGATGATAAATCGAGGCAAGGGGAAGCGCAGATCACCAGCCTCACCCAAGGCACACACAAGGGCTGCTAGTGCAGCCCCCTGGCTGAAGCCCAGGAATCCATCAAAAGGCCCCAGCTCGTCGAGTGCCTGTGCCACTGTCCCCAGGGCTTGTTCCAGGCCCCTGCATGCTGTGGGCTCTTCTAGGGCATTGAAAACGTCTGCCTCCTCCGAAAACCACCAGCCTCGAGGCTGCTCCTCCGGGGGACAGGTCCCTACAGGCAAATGGAAAAGGATGGAATTAGAGCAAGGGGAATGGGGAGGTGACAGAAGGGGTTGGGGGGGAAGAGACTGGAGAAAATGAGGTGGGAATGAGTGGCTTGACATGGACTAGAGACAAAGAGATGAGAATGGAAGCCTGGTAGTGGAAGGATGGAGTTCGTGCCAGAGAGGTAGGGTGGGAGGGATGGGGAGGGCAAAGGGTATGTGAGGGTTGCTAAATAGATGGGGCAAGACGGAGAAGACATCCTGAGAACATTTCCAGAGCAGGGCTCGTCTCACCCGAGTCTGGACCGGAGCCCTCGGGGCCCGCTGCATCAGGGACTGGGTGGGGACCACTAAGACACACGAGCTCCGCGCGGCCCCGCAGCGCCTTCCTCAACGCCCCAGTCTTCTCGCGGAAGCCGCGCTCACTCTGCCGGAAGCCAGCCAGGCACAAGACCCGTAGGGGCTGCCGCGCCGCCATATTGCCCGCCAGCGTGCGCCGTAGAAACCGGAAGCGGTCTTTCCCGGAGCGGAAGTAGAATGTGTGAGAGGCGGGATCAAACGCCGGCACCATCTTGAAGGCGGGCCTCAGAGGAGTGGACGTTGCCATGACAACAGGAAGGGCTGGGGCGTGGCCAGAAAAAGGGAGGGAACTAACACCCAGGGGCGTCTACCTGGGACCCAGGAGCGTCTCAGGGAGCGGGCGGCACCACATTTTCCTCTCTGCAGTTACAATGCTTGCAAGACTCGCCTGGAGCGGGACGCGTGGATCCCTCTCGTACCTAAGGTCGTAGATTTGGGTCAGTCCCGCTTTTGTGACCGCCTCTTCACTTCAGTGCATTTCCCGTTGCGGCCGCACAGCGGCGGCCTCGGCTCATGTCGCCACAGAAGTGGCTAGCGCCAAGGCCACGGCCACAGGCTGCCCCTCTTCCCTCCTTGAAACCCCGACTACCTTCCTGGACGCGGATCGGGCAGGGCCCTGGGGGGTTCGGTCTCGCCCGTGGTTCACTGTCCATGCCCCTAAGGAGCTGCTGGCATAGAAGTCCATGGGGTAGGGATCCTGCCAGGAAATGTCCTTCAAGGCCACAGCTGCCTAGTATTGGAAAACAGGATAGTAAAACTTGTCAACGTTTTCTTGAGCCTGGATTATTGAATTCAATCCTCACAATGGCCTATGAAGGGTATATTATCCCCAAACTGCAGAAAGGAAATGTGAGGCTCAGAGAGGTTAATCGACTTGCCACATACAGCGAGGAAGTGGCTCAGTTCAGACATTCAAGACAGTCTGCAGTCAGAACCTATGATCATAACTCAGTGCTGCTCACTCACCTCACTTCACTTCAGAACCCTTTGACAGAATTAGGTACAGAGCCCATTATCCCATGAATCTTCAAAACTTGCTTTTACCTCATAGGGTGTCAGCAGTGGCTTGGGGAAGGCTGTGCCCCAGTCAATGGAGAGGCGAGGACATGCCACCTGCACCCACCTGGGAAAAGAATCCTGGTCAGACTTGAGATGGGGGTCTCCCTGCTCCTGGGCAGCATGCTGAATATGACAGTGTCCCCAGCATACTCATTAATAATGTATCCTGGGCCGGGGATTTGGCTCAGTGGTTTCGCTGCCTGCTGCAGAAGTGGAAGGATCTGAGTTCGATCCCCGGCACCAAAAAAAAATAAAAATAAAAAAAATAATGTATCCCGTATGCTGGGATTTCAGGCTTTGTGCTACCAAGCCCAGCAATAATAGGATTTGTGAATCTTAAAGTAAAGACTTAAAGTAAAGACCTACTGCCATTTAGAATATTATAATGTTATTTTCTCCTGTTTCTCCTGTTTCTTCCTCTGACTTCACTGTCTGAGGGCAGCTCATTTATTTCCAGAACCAAATTTAGTACCTGGTACAATCCAGGTGCCAAGCACCCCATAGACACATCTCACCAGAACTACTGTGACATTGCCATTGCATCTGAGCAAAGGAAAGACAAAGCAAATGACCCATGACCAAGGGTAGCCCCGGCTGGAGAAATTCTTGGTGAACATTAAAATTTCATGACCATGAAGCAATTCCCATTGACTGCAGCCTTTGATTTGCTGAGCAGGACCCAGCTTTTAGCCAGAATCAAGCTAGGTAGGTAAGGTGAAAACTTACACATCTACCCCAGGAAACAGGCTGAGCTTGCTGGGGAAGATCTCAGAGAGCAGCAGCCTCACGAAAGGAAGTCCCAAGGCTAGAAGTCGAGATTCCAGGTGCTGTTTGTGGAGAGGGTGGCTGAGCTGAGGTCACCATGATTAGCCAAAGCTAAACCCCTTAGCTAACCGATTTTCCCAGGTGGGTTTTTGGTCAATCAGCCCCCTCTTCCTGAGGCCAACCCAAGCTCTCTGACCTCCAGGATCTTGGGACTGCCCTGACGGCCCAAAGTGCCCAGAATAAGGCCCCAGGATTTGGCTGAGCGAGCAGTGGCTATGGCTTCCTGGCGAGCAGCCTGCATGCACTGGTGGTCATAGTGCTCTCTGGACAGCACTTTGCTGTAGGGGTCATATCTGGAAAAGAAGTTACCAGGACCACTGTGACAGCCACTCCTAAGACTCTTGCCCCATGCAGGTAATTAGGAAATTAGGTCTCAGACAAGTACAAGGATTGCCGCTGGGAAGATTAGTCCCATAGATGGAGCAGGCAAGAGTTGAGGAGGGTCTTAGGATCTTAGTGTGAATCCCAAGTGGGCAACAGTAGTCCTGGGTCTAATGCCCTGATGAGAACCAAGTTAAGGCTGAGTGCCATTTAGTGGCTGGGAGCTGAGGAAGTCTCAGTCTGCTGAGGGCCTGAGGGGGAGGGAATTTTACCTTTCAATAGCAAGTCAGCCCAGCCCAACCCATACCGGTAAGCAGGGACACTGGGGTTGGCAATCATGACAGACTCCAGATGGAAGTGGCCATCTCCAAGATACCTGCAGGGATGGAAAGAAGCTGTAAGTATGGTATGGGACAGCAGAAGAGGTCCATGCTGCTGTATGCAAATTGTATGCAAATTGGGATAAGTCATTTTCCATTCTGGGGCCTTGGTTTCTGTTACATAAAATAAGTAGTTAGCCAGGTGTAGGAGCACACATCTGAAATCCCACTACTCTGGAAGGCCAAGGCAGGAGGACTACAAGTTCAAGCCCACCCTAGGTGACTTAGTGAGACCCTACCTCAAAATACAAAGGGGCTTGAGCTATAGCTCAGTGTGAAGGTTTAGGATTTAATCCCCAGTACTGAAGGAAAAAAAAAAAGGAGTTTGACTTGGATGCTTGTGAGACCCCTGTAGTAATAGAATGTATAATCCAAGAACTGCCTCACCCCAGCTTTCTGGGGTAAGAGAACAGGAGCAGCCAGGGCCATAATAAGGTCATTTGAGTCTCTCTAAAACCTAATTTGGAAGCTGGGTGATAGATTTTTACCAAGCTCAATACAGATATGGGAAGTAGTGTTCAGTGGGTCATCTATGCTGAAAATAAGGGTCCAGGGTATACACTGGCTACTCTTTTTTTTTTTTTTTTTTCCGGTACCGGGGATTGAACTCGGGTCCTTGCACTTGCACAGCAGGTGGTGAAACCACTGAGCTAAATCCCTGGCCCCTACACTGCTACTCTTTCCCAAACCAGCTCTTGGGTCCAGGTACCGAGCTATAGGAGCAGCTAGTTTCTTAGACTTGTGCCTTCTGTGTTTCAGGCCTAGACTAAGTATCTGAAATGTACGTGTTCATGAGCTCACGTAGTCCTATCAAATAATCTCCAATAAAATGATAGCATCCCCCTGCCTTTGATATGGGGGGTGTCTCACTATGTAGCCCAGGCTAGCCTTAAACTTAAAATCTTCCTGCTTTAGCCTCTAGAGTACTAGGATTCCTGGTATGCAGCAACATGGCTGGCTTTTTTTTTTGGTACTGGGGATTGAACTTGGGTCCTTGCGCTTGCGCAGCAGGTGGCAAAACCACTGAGCTAAATCCCCGGCCCCATGGCTGGCTTTAAAACGCCAGTCCTATTTTATAGAAAATACAATTGAGGTTCAGGGATGTTAAGACACTTGCCCAAAGTTAAGCAGCTGTGAACCACTATATTTGAGACTTACTGCCAGGCTTGGCTGCCAAGCATGCCCTAAAAGATGCTATCCAGCAGTACCTTCCCAGGCCATGGAAACTTTGGAGCATGGAAGATAATATGCTTGTGGTAGCTGTTTCTCTCCCTTTTGGAGATCACACCTCATTTTATGAATAGTCAACACTCATGGTATCTCTTCCCCAGCACATACCTAGAAGCCCCCAAGGGGAAGCCTCTAGGAGCTCAGGGTTATAGAGGCATAGACACATGGGGAATGCCCCTTCCAGGGCTGGGATGGGGAGGGCCTGGATGTGGGTCTATGGGCAGGGGTGTCCTATGTGGCCACAGCAGGCTTATGGGACCAGCATCCAAAGCCCCAGACGTAGGGCTGTGTCAGGGACTGCCCCTCCCTCTTTCTGTCATTAGCTAGGAATGACGCTCCCCTCCCCAATCCCAGGTGGGGGAGCTGTTGGCTCTGAGGCTGGCTGCATTCACACAACATTAAGCATTTCCATTACCTAAAATAATTAGGCAGCAGGAGACACGCTGCTACTGCTTGTTAGCTGTCCGGATGCTAAATTAATGGGGCTGCAGCCTGGGTGTGCCCATCCATCTTCTCCAATTATATTTGTGCCATTTCTGTCCCCCCTCTCCCCCTCCTCCATTAGGTAGGCCCTCTGATTCCTGTCCCCACTTCAAGCACAGCCTTCTGATGGTGGACAAAGCCTGGAGAGAGACAGTAAAGCTGAAGTCTAGTTCCTATTTAGTCCCATCTTGCAGGTGACCTTGGGTGTAGCCTTGACATAGATAAAGAGTTTTTTAGACTCGGTTTCCTTTCCTGCATGATGAACCTCAGGCTCTTTCCCTGGGTATACTTATAATGTCTGTGTGACACGGCCCCCAGTTTTTACTTACACAATAGCTTCTACCTCCTTGGACAGTCGGGGGGACGTGCAGCCCAGAATCTCCCCAGGGGACAAGGGCTTGCACTGTGGGACACTCACACGGTACTTGGCTTTCAGCTCCTGGGCAGCTGCCTGTAGGGATAATGAGGGAAGAGAAGCAAGTGGCTGGGGAAGAGGAGCTAGGGCCAGAGGAACAGTGCAGACCACCTGGCATGGGGATCAAGAAACAGCCTGGGCAGTGGCCACGGTCTGCCCCATGAGATGCTAGGGATCCTCACTCTGTTTACCTGCAAGGTTGACACAAACTGAATGGTGCTGACCAGGGCAAGAGCACTGTCTGGAGGAAAGGTGAGACGGATAGAGTCCAGGAAGTGGGCAGTGTCTATCCGGATGTCCACAAAGACGTACAGCACCCGGAAGTCTTGGACTGAGATATCCATGGGAACTGGAAGGAAAGAAAAGTTCAGGAAACTATTTTTGGAAGGCAGGAAGGGCAAAGAACTTGCCCCAACTCTGGTTTCTGAGCAGCCAGGGCTGTGGCTTCAGCCTGGGGGCATAATGAGGAAGTAGGGGAGGGAGGGTTCACAGGTCCCCTAGAAGCTCCTTCTCTGTCACTCAGCTGGGGGCCCAGCTTGTTCTACCACCAAAAGCCTTTCAAACACTTGCATCTGGGACAGTA